CTGAATATTTGACCACATTGCACGTCGGAGTCTAGTTTCTGGTGGGAGGAGTTGACTTTGCTCTAGTAAAGCTCACTGCCATATGAGAAATCTACGATTTCCTGGACTCGAGTCTACTGGAGTTGCTTTGGCCCTATTTTATGGCTAGAAGAAATCGATTCTATTGGAGTCAAGGTAACTACTATATGAGATCCCTTCATGTTGGAGCTGTGTTTGTGGATAGGAAAGGAGGTCACATCGTTTGCTGCTATCTTGTGAAGGCAGACGTGGCATGCTGTTGTGAATTGATGGCACAAGCGTAAGGTAGCAGAGTTATGTAAGCAAGTGATGGAAAATTTGGAGTGTAGGAGAAACTAGTTCTTTACATATTAGGCCGATGAGTTTAGATGAAACCAAATTTTTTTTTTTTTTAAATAAAAGAGAAGAGTATTATTATGAACATGGATATCAAAGCATACCGTCCGTATACAAAATAATTACATATCAATCAAGTGGTCAATGATTATCCCAATATCTTCCCAATCTGAAATGTTATGACCTAATAAAATAAAACTAAAAATGTGAATCTATCTATCTTTAATGTTTACATATATTTCCTTCTGCACTAGCCAAAAAATGGCAAGCGGAACTAAAAATAAATGCTTTTCTTTTTACATATACTTACCCACACCCATAGCTCTTTACTTACATCACCCGTCATGACCTGACTCATCCCCATAATCCCAAACACAATGGCCCAAATGTTGTGCACAACCGGGCAACAAAGTAAAATATGGTTGCAGGATTCCTTATCAGCTTTGCATAGGTAGATCTATTAACTAAAATTTTGCCTTTTCTCCTCAGCATACCAGTGGTCAAAATACTTTCTCTTGAAGCTTCCTAAGCAAAGAAAACCATTCTACGGGAAGCTTTGGATCTCCAAATTTGCTTAAAAGGTACTGCCATACCAGCCTCTCCATCACTTTTGGATAGGTAATTGTAGTAAGATTTCTCAAAAAAACCCCTTTTCTTATCCGGCTTCCAGATCCTCCTATCCCTCTGGTCCCCCAACTTCATATCAGCCAAACAAAGGAGCAAATCGCTGTATTCATCCACTTCCCAGTCCTTCAAATTTCTTTTAACTTGTACACTTCACCCACTGCCTCCACCACCATTCCAATACACCTTCTCCACCAAAATATCCTTTCACATGCAATATCAAAAACTGTTGGAAGTCTATCTTTCAGCTTGAAGTCCCCTAACCACTCATCCTGCCAGAATCTAATTCCCCCACCATTACCCAGCTGCCACCCAATGCATTCCCAAAGCCTGCTGCTGCCCCCACTAATTTTCTTCTACAAACTCACCCCATACGGTTTATACTTCCCTCTTCTCCCCCCATCCTGCTATCAGTCACCCCGTCTAGCCTCCACCACCTTCCTCCATAATTTCCCCTCCTCACTAATAAACCTCCATAACCATTTACCATGTAGAGCAGAATTCAACTCCACAATAGATCTTAACCCGAGCCGTCCCCCATATATGGGTTTTTTCACATCCTCCCACTTCACTAAATGATATTTTTTATTTCCCTCTTCATCACGCTAAAGGAATCTACATTGGTTCCTTTCAAGTTTTGATGCAATGGTAACCAGAATTGTTAAGATGGAAAGATAGTATATTGGTAAGTTTGCCAAGGTGCTCTTGATTAAGGTAAGCCTCACTCCTTTTGATAGAAAGTTTATCTTTCGTCCCGCAAGCCTCTTCTCAAACATTTCTACTTTTGGGTCCCAAGTTTTAGTATTTTTGAATCTCACTCCAAGAGGAAGCCCGAGGTATTTGATTGGTAAAGTAGTATCATTGCTTACTGTTCATCCAAGCTTTGGGGTTGCGAGGATATGTCATAGGAAATAACTCCACACCAATTGATACTGATAGAATTCTTGGTTGGCAAGAATAAAAAAAAAACTCATTCTTTATGCCTTAGTTCATTAATTCAATGCAACCACAAATTTCTCAAGGGTATTTACTCTTTGATAATATCCATAGTTTGGCTTGCTGCATCTCAGACATACTCCTAAGTTGGGAATGACGCACAAATATATGAATTGTGAAACAAGGTGAATGTAACTAAATAAGGTGAGATGATGATCACACGATATTTTGCTGAAATGAGTGGTTTGTTGTAGGAATTAGACTATTGTTAAGATTTTCAGGCAGCCTGTTCAATAGATGCAACCACATTTCAAAAATTAATTGACAAGGAGTGGGTTTATGAATTTAATATAAAAAATGATCATATCAGGGTTTGGGTCCTTGGTTGAGACCGACCTCACCATGACCAACATATTTGTACATTTCAACATGCTGAAGTGTCATGGTCAATTTAATTGGTGTTGACAAGGCATTTAGTTGTCGGCCTCTTTCACAATGAGACAAAGACTAGTAACTAAGGTATGTTAGATGAGGATAACCTAACATGTTGTTACTCTGATAAACTACGACATCAGAGAGTTCTTGGAAGCTTAAGAGTAGGCTTAGTTGAGGCCACGGAGGTGAGCCACAGAACTCAACACATCTACGTGCTAACTTGTTTTAGACCATTGACACATCAACAACAAGAGAAGTATCTAGTGCTAGCAGCTTTGTCAATGAAGAGGTACTAAGTTTAAAACGACTTTGTCATGGCTTGAGTCATACTCATAAGCAACAGCCTCTTCTAATTTTCCAAAATTAGGTATTAATTCTTGCTAATCTTAATAAACAAGATAACTTGTGAATTACAAATTTAGGAACTTCTAACTATATGACAGACTTTTAGACCATTTTGAAAACTATATACCATGCTCAGGTAATGAAAAGATCCTCTCTGTTCCTAATAGCACTTTCCTTTTTTACTAGAAAAAAAGATATGAAAAGGTCTGCATTGCTTATTGCTCTTTGTTAGTGTTAAAGGCTCCATCACTTACACGTTCTCCATTACATTGTCCTTTGTCCTGCATGTCCCAAAATTTTCTAATAATCTTTTGTCTACATTTGCAATCACAAATGGCCTTAACTGTAAATCTGAATCCTTTCTTATTGTGTTTTTTAAGAACTAAAAGCAAGAAAAACATGATTAAAGCTCAAAGCTTGATGGTTTTAACATGGGTTTTTTCAGGAAGTTTTAGGACGTGATGAAAGGTAACATTGCTGAGCACTTTAATGAATTCATGAGTTGGGGTCTTTATCATCAAGGAGTTCAGATCCATAAGTCTCATGGTGTGTTTACAAACTCATTGTTGAAGTCTTCGCTATGAGATTAACTAAGCTAACAGGGAGGGTGATGGAGAAGTGTTAGCCTACTTTGTGGGTGGTAGACAGATTGTGGATGCAGCCTTTAGTAGTGGTGGATAAGCTGAAGTACAGGAACATGTAGGGAGTTCTCTGCAAACTTGATATGGAGAAATCTTATGACCATGTGAATTGGGTTACCTACATTATATGACAGAGAGAATATGCTTTGGGGATAGATAGCGTAACTGTATCAAGTCTTGCATTTTTACGACATCTTTTGCTATTATAGTTAATATAGGTCCATCTTTCTTTAGAGCTACCACAGGTCTTAAATAAGGAGATTCATTGTCTCATTTACTTTTTATCGTTGATATAGAGGTATTACACAAGATGCTCATGAGGGGCTAGAGATCTTGAGATGTTTAAGGTTTTGAAGGTGAGAAAATGGTGAGCGAGTGAAGCATGTGACTCACTTATTCTTTACTGATGATACTTTGTTATTCCATGAACCGAATAAAAAAGCTTTCCTCAATATCAGAGGTGTTCATTTAAGTTCCCATGCTGTATCCGACCTTAATATCAATTTGCTAAATATGAGTTGGTGAAACTAGGCGATGGGAGAATGCTACAGATTGTCTACTCTTCTGGAATGTAAGGACTTGACTTACCAAGCAAATATTTGGATTTGCAATTGGGAGCAAAGTATAAGAAAACTTAGACTTGGATCCT